TGGTCACTTTAGCATCTCAGTTTAAAATACAATTCAGTAATAAAAACAAATGAATCGTACTAATGGATTCACAGTTTAAGAATCAATATTTCTGCCAAAACAGATAGAAAAATGACGGACATATTGAAGGAATAAGGTTAATGAACATTTAGAAAAGCCTTCAGATACGACTGTATGTCAAAAGGCTTTACGTTATAAAAACTTTAATAACATTCAATTCATCTTATATTTTGTATAGAAAAAAAAAGTTTCACTTAACAGACATAGATTTCGACGCTGATCGGTTACCCTGCCTTTCGATCTACATTCATTTCCGGGATGACCTAAGGGGGTGATGAGGATTAGCCACGTGTTAATAATTTGATTTTTGTGGTGAATTGATATTTGGACAATTCACATAGATTCAAGCAATCGATCGTATTGTCATTATCTACACACAAAACATGTCATAGCTATGAGATAAATTTATTACTTCAAAATTTATTTATTCTATTAGAATATATCAGTGACTAGCATTCAATGAATAACATTCAGTTCAATTCTATAATCGAATTCATTCACAATGAATAATTTAAATAAAACACGACATTACTCACTACATGTACTTGTGTAACAAAACATAATTTTGTAGGTCAACAAGATACACCTTGTTTAATTTTCATACTTTTTCCAATCATAACGCTCTTTTTGTTTAGAAAACCTTGCAGAACATTTGAACAATTCACAATTGCAACAAATGAAAACGAAATCAATGGAGAGAACATACATAGTAACCAGTAAACAGAGAGACTAGTAAAAAGAAGAGTAGTAAGAGAGAATGAGGTGATTCTATCATTAAAAAAATTTCTATGTTGTATGCCTGTCAACAAAAACAATAGAGAAAATAATTTATATGCATAAAATGTTCTATTAAATGTTTTGGATACGCTAAGTAACTAAATAAAATATTATTACTGAATAGAAGCAATTAAAATTGAACATGACTATTCTTTTTTGTCTGTTCTGAAAACATGAAATCAATGCAGGAACATCGTTTGCGTATAAACAAACTGAGAGGGTATAATGATAGAATACCATGTCCCTGGAAAACACATTTAGGTCAATCTTTAAGAAGCACAGGGATCCTTAATGGTTCACACCAAAAATCTTACAGTATATAAGGTACAGAGCCTTAAAGTTTTACAGTGAACACATTAATTCTAGACAACTGAGTGGGACTTCAGTGGTTCAATCTCTAATCAGAATTATCTTGTGATATAACACTATCTTTATCCAATGTTATCAGTAAGTTGCAATTTCACTATCGACAGAGTCGAATACTACCAATCACGACTTCCCATGAGAACTTTGTCATTCAATATCAAAGCTGGTCAGTAGTGATTAGGGATATCAGTTTCGGTTCCAGCATTCTTGAACCCTTATCGGTCACTAAAGTTAAAATGTATAATTTGATCATAATTAATCACATACTCAAGAAATTAATTGCTTTTTGGTTCCTTTATCCAATTTATAAGGTAGCAAAATATAATATATGATACGCGTATGGAATGTAATACTGATTTCCCATGAGCTGATGAATAAAAGGATCGAAAAAAATAGACAAATTAATTGCTAATCATAGGAGCCAGGCAACAAATTATCTTTTTTGATCTGAGATCTATTAAGTAGCTTTATGTATGAAAAAGATAAAGTCCCTTTGTGTTAATCACTCACAAAAGGTTTTCTTCCAAATACCCTATCACAAAATTGTGTCTGTCTAGAATCCATTTTGCATAAACTAGTTGTACGATAGGTTCAAAAGTAGATTTATGAAACGTAATAAATTTACATGAGTAAAATTAATTCAGTTAGTTTAACTTATCCACCAGGTACTTGGTTATGAACTATAACCTTAATATGAGGGATAATGACAATATACGGGTGCCCAAACCGAAATAGGTGGAGTATGGTTCCAATCTGCGACTTACTAGTTGAAAGTTAGACTACTTTACTAAGGAGAAACCGCTCAACACTATAATTAATACGGTGCCGACTTTTACATTTATTGACCCGTTAAATTGAAGTAAGGGTCAACAAATTTGTGGAAATATAAGCAACATATATAGCCTACACTCTTATAGAACAGAATGGACACACAAACATGTGTTAAAAGTTAAATGTAAGAATTAGCAATTGGCTTTCATCCGCTACAATATAATTATGACAATGGAATTTAAATGTACTCAACTGAATCAAGTGGAAAACAGACTTCGACGAAAACGGATTCAAATGATCAATTGGAAGTTTCAGATATAAGCAGACACAACACGTAAGCTATTTTATGAAAAAATAAAATCAAATTAAACAGTTGTTATATTGAATAATATAAGCCCTTGCTGGGTAAAACACAGTAGACGGTGTTTAATCAATCAGACTAAATAGATAACGAACTTTAGTTAGTCATAGGTTGGTGTATATTACAACCTGTTTCATGTGCAGCTGAAATGTTATTTGTGGTGTTATATGTTTCCCCAAAATGCCTTGATACGGCCGAGAATGGGGAGAGTCAGTTCTCCCTCTCCAAATCCTCTTACATGGCGACGAGCATACAGCCACTACCAAGGAAGTCCTACTCATTGTCTTCTCGCGGCGGTGTTGTTTACGAAATTGAGAGGACCACCATTCACTTAGAGGAATTGGAAAACCCTGATTCCAAACCAATGGTTCACATGAGCTCCAGGATCCTAAAGGAACAAAAGGTGTGTGAACCTATTGTTGGTCACCGGCTACTATGGGACTGCATCTCCTGACGTTGCTCCACTCCCTTATGGATTAGACCTTCAGGTCGGAGACTGCGGATGTGGCCCCTTAAGAAAACCACCTGCTTCGGTCTGGCCACTCGGTCACTATCACAGCCCTCACACAAATCAACGATAACTGCTACCGATCTCAGTGTTATTGTGTGGCGCATATGTATTTGGTGCCCCCTTGTACCAATGTTTATGTGTTCAAATAAATAAAATAAATCGGATAATATATAAAAAGAATGAACAAAATATTTTGATGAAAGGTCAGTATTACAGCAGATAAGTAGGAGTCAAGAGACGGATTTTGAGAATATGTAAAAATGGACCACTTAAAGATACAATTAGTCATTTAACATCTTACTATCACTATATAGATGATACTTTCATGGTATTAGAAAACGAACACGAGGATACTTTACTCAATATATTTGATAACATTCATCCATCAATTACTTTATACTTTAGGAAAAACAGAATAGCATATTGTTTCCAGATGCCCATCTGACAAGAAGATTAGACGGAACATTGAAAAAAGAGGGATATATAGTTGAACAATATGCTGATTGCTATAGTGCTGTAGCAGTCAGATATAAAAGACACTTAGTAAAGATTCTGATTTATCGTGCTAGAATGATTTATTCTGATGACATTATTGTAGATGAATTGAATAATATTCGTGAACTGTTTAAGAGGAGTGGATATCCAACAAAATGCATCAACAAACACATGAATGAAATGAAAAAAGATCGGATGTATCTACTGTTTTGAAGAAAGTACTGTTTTTAAAAGTACGATTCTTTAATAATGCCATAGAGGATATTATAACTCAAAAGTTAAGAAAGGGGATACAGAAAACATTTACTGCAGCCAATTTGAATGACGTTTTTTACAACCGTCCGACAATGAACTCCGTAAATAGAGGCAGATTGCTCAGATTCGCTACATTCACGTGTACTTACCAATTCAACTGCTCTTGCGAAGAATGTTTGTTATAGTATATCCAAGAAGTTACCTAATGGAGGAACGGGGTGGCCAAGTGGTTAAGGCGATGGATTGCTAACCTATTGGGGTTCCCCCGCGTGGGTTCGAATCCCATCCCCGTCGCCAAATTGTTATAACTTGTCGCTTGAATGCTTATTGTCTTGGCTCTTCTAATGCTATTTTTTGTATCTGATCGTCATCGTCGTGTTTTGGGGTTAATAAATCTTCGCTTATACCAGTCTTTGTATTTTTACTTTCGCGTTGTGGGAATTGCGGAGGTCCCTCGTTTGGAGTATAAGTGATAAGTGTTTCCGACACAACAATCAGCGACGACCAGTCACAAAAAGTGGCATTAAAAGAGCCAATACAATAAGCATTCAAACGACAAGTTATAACACTGTTATGTGTTATGGCAGAACACTATATGTCTTAGTTGAGCAAAGTACAAGTAACATTGATTAAAGGTTCTATTCTTGCTCACGTGGTGGACACAGGACATCAATTTGACATGAATAAAGCTTTTGAGTTTATGCACCATATTTCATTAAATTTACCACTGAGTTTATAAGTTCGTCTGTTACATATTGCTAAGGCTATCGGAATCCATTTTCATGAACCTAACGTTTGCATCCAAAAGAAGTATGTACAACTACTTATGCTACATTTGTCATCGGTATAGGAATGAGTTTTTAGCAGAACCTTGATTAAACACTTTCCAAATTTCTATCACTTTTGTATTTTTACATATTCTTAAAATCCGTCTCTTGATTCCTACTTAGCTACTGTAATACTGACCATTCATCAAAATATTTTGTTCATTCATTTTATATATTATCCAATGTAACAACTGTTTAATTTTTTCAAAATAATTACTTTGATTATTATAATGCTCTTTCTTTCAATTACTCAATATTATTTTATAATCACTGTGATATTATGTAAATAAAATCAAATGTACAAATGTCTATCTTTATTTCTATTTCCTTGTTACTTTTTTTTCATTTACTACTTAAATGGTGCACAGAATTATGAATTATACTAAACTAATGCCTATTAGTTATTATGATTTTTAAAGTTGATAATACAATTAAACATATTAACCATGAACAATAATCATTCTAGTTAAAACATCAATCATTTTTTTTATTACTAATTAAGTTATTTTTACTTAAAGTTCATTGCATTTTACATCCTTTAAACCATCTGTCAATTTCAGCAATGAACGCATTTTGATGTGATACAATTAGTCAAAATATTAAGGACATCTAATTCGAGTTCTTATATTTTGTTTAGAAAAAAAATTGAAAATTGAAAAACTAAAAAGTCATACAATCAACATTACAAAATAATTTAATAAATAATAAGCTTTGAATCACATGCGAGTTAAATAAAGATTGTAAATAATTTTATTCAGTAATTTAAAATATGGTCATTTTTAAGATGGTTACTAAAATCGTAGTTCAGTAATTATAAGTCGAGTGCTTAGACTACTGGAGTATCTGTTCGATTCAATAAGCGAAAACATTATACCAATAAAATAACATTATCACAAGTGGAACATGTTAGTAATTGGAAAAAGGACCATATAGGTCAAGATCAAAGTTATCAGAATACCAAGTATTCCCTAAGTAAAAAAATCTTTGCAGAAAACATCCAAAGTTGTTTATAAGAAGTAGAGTTAATTTTCGATAGCTAGGAAACTACTGAAAATTAGGGGACACTGAACAGCTATTTCATGCTAAGGTGGGACTCTTCAATATTGTGAAACAACAGTCTGAAAAAGACTGGATCCAGAATACTCAGTCCTTGTGATGAGCACGATACTTTCGGGCCACTGATTCAAAATCCAAATTTTCAGCGATTTCAACTCCACTTGACATGAAATATCGTGAAACAATCATTTAGCTGATGTCAGTTCTTTATAAACAGTGGCTGTCGAATTAAACGAATCCAAAAAATTTCCTACCAAAATAATACAAATAATTTATTTAAATATATCACATATGCGTGAAATTGTATTGAATTTGAGTTTCAAATTCATTTCGAAAATTTCAGTTAAAATTATCAGGATATACGATCAATCTCAATCAAACTAGTCATAATGAGTAAACAAGAAAAACGTAAATCTAATACAGAGAACTTGTGTAAAAAATAACGTAGAAGTGGCAACACAACAGGAATGAATATTATTTTCATGACTAAATGAGAATCACGTTGATAGATATCACTTGATAAGATTTATCAGAAAGAATCGCATACAATTTTCTCTACGATTTTGTCTTTAGCCTGGCGTCTTTCAAGCTTCGACTAACAAGATTAAGTGATAAAAGTATATCTTAGGGACGAGCCAACCAAAATTAAGAACGCGACTTCGGGGCTTCTGAGCGAAATCTAAATATCATCATGCATAACAAGGGCTAGGGATAAGGTCGACATTGTCAAGTGTGTCGTAGTCAGTAATTATGCTTATGTTTTCATCTATTCAGTAACTCCATTAAAGATATTTTGGAATCATTTCTATTATAAAATTAATTTGAGGTATAATGTCCGATACATTGTAATTTTTCTTCCATCATGACTCAGGTGGCTACACTCGACAAGTATGTACTATGATGGAGTGATGTTTACGTCGGAAAAAACATGAAGTTTTTCATGTAAGCCAGCAAAAATGATAGAACACGAAACACGCCCTTCATCATGGATTATGATAGTGTAACTAATAAATTTGGTTGGTTGCCAGGTTCAAAGTCAAAATTGAGAACGAGTGTTGAGTTTATCCTCACGCATAAAGAGCAGTAAAAATGCGTTTGTACACCGCTCAAGACATTTATAATGGAAACTTTTTTTGTAATTATAAATTAAAGATGATAGTGTAAAATGTGTCAAATGCCTAATTGTCTCTTAAGATTGCATATAACAGACAAATCAACACTATCCCTAAATCCTAACCCTAGGCCTTTTATCCTGAAACAGATCTCAACCTGGTGACACTAAATTTTACAGAAGAACTAATTAGATAGTTTCTCTTGTATTTTCGGGTGAAATCCAACCATCCAAACGGCTACTGATAGATTGTGCATAATAGCTGATGTCCGTTCATGATGAAAACCTTGACCATAAACCACTAATCCTAATCCTAAATACCCAATTCTAACTAGGAGCAGTGTAAAGAATCTTAAAAATTTGTTTGAATCTTTTTACGTGTTCAAGAAAATGGTCAGTTTACATCGCCAATCAACCTTGAGTTGAGACCAAGATAAAACTTAACGCCTGCTTGTCAGAATACAGTTTTCACAGGGTTCTTTTCCCGATAGCCAGAACAGAACAACATAGAAGATAGACAACTTTATAGTACAATCCAATTCTTCAACTTAAGTCATACAATAGTGCATAGAAAAGCTTTGACAACTCATAATCCATAAGGAACTACAATATCAGGATAAAGACGCCATAAGTGGGAGAGAGCTAAGTGATATGTTCGTAATTAATCAAGAATAAACTTGGGAAAGGTAAAACATACAAGTTTATGTATCAAATCAAAGCTTACAACTAGGACAATATGATGGTAAAATAATTCAAATCTTTAATAATTATGCGATAAAAATATAGACCATAATACTTCAAAAGATCCCAGCTAAAATATGACTCATACCTTCTCATTGGTTCATGATTAATAGTAGGAATTGTGTTCCGTGAACTAACATGACAGATAAAAGGAAAGTAGCCTAGTCTACCATCCTATCGTAAATTTGCATGAACAAATGTTTCCACCTGAGCCGCCTACACGGGTGTATCTATGCCTGTGTATACTATGGGATGTATATTTCAACTTGATCTATGTATTTCAAGTATGCATGTAATGTATACATGCTCCAAAAATGGGTGAGATACTTAACATGAACAGATAACAAATACGAAGAATGGGAGTGGAGACCATCTTGCCCTTCCAGTCATGGTATTTATGCTTATGTGTATGCCGTGGATTGCATAGGTTGATTTGATTTGTATATTCCAAGTGTGCACGTAATACGTACTTGCTAATATAAAAATATGAGAGTCCCTCTTACCCATTCAATTAATAGCAAATGCAAACCAGTTATTCCTTGTGATTCATAATTATATTGTTGTGCACTGAAAATATATCCTAGCTCGGGTATGTGTGGCGCTAAAGAGTAGAAACATTATCCAGTCTAACAGGTATTAATCTATTTTCCAATATCAGTTTGATTTTTATCGATTACCAGTCATCTTACTTATTAAATCAGCTATAATCATTGAATCAGCGGTTTGTTTTCGAAAAAGGACTTACCATACTTCTGACTTCTGTTTTTCTCATCAATTACAGTTCAACTGTTATCTGAACAAGGAAAATAAGGCCATAATAAGTAGGTTTATACCTCAGGTGTTCACATACAGTGTATTCAGTCTGAATATCATAATTTCAGCTCCCAACCAAAACATCTATAAAATATTGTACCATAAGTCGTCGTAGGTTACTTAGTAAACATGCATATAGTTTTATTCCGTTTATCTTAAAATTGTTACTTAAACTGTGTGCTAACAAAACGACGCCACCAATATCAACACTGGTGTACATGAAGATCGTCTTCATTTTCGATCTAATCGATAAGATGTAAGGCAAATATTCCAATGTCAAAACGACTCAATAAAATAAAAACATTACATTATTTAATAAACCCAGTGTGCAAATTATTTCTTCTCTACTAAAACCAAATACTTGGATTCACATGCTAATTTTATCAACTGAAAATATCAGTAAGAAGCAACGTGGGACTTGATAAATGACATAAATAACAGAAGTAGTAACAGTGTTAGTAGAAAGCATCAAGCATAGATAATATGATTCAAAAAGAAAGAATAAATTAGTGAGACAGAAAAATACTAGATAAGTTTAAAACACATTGGTTAAATTGAGATTAATTCTGAACCATGTCATTCATTATTTCCAGAGATTGGTTACGACAATAGAGCTTATACCAACCTTTTAGTCTCCGCATACCAATGTGGTTTCGTCCAATAGTCAATGACAATTAAATGGGACAATCAAAATTCGCCAAACGAGAAGGCCACGTTGTGAAAACCAAAGATTGAATTGAAAAGTGCGTGTTATTGGTCGGGAAATGGTTTTGTTTTCTAAGGAGACATACATTTAATGAGTGCTCATGATCGGTTTAACCCAATAAAAATCCTCCTCCACCCTTAATCCTTTCACTTATTAGCTGGGTGTGGACTTGAATATATGGCGTTTTGTGCATCATCTCGTCTTGTACACCGCCGATTGTAAAACATGGATTCATGGACTGATCTCAAGTCTTGATTTGGCTACCCTTAGCTTTCTTCCAACCCACTCCTCTTACAAAAGCGAACATCATGTGAACCAACAGTCGAAAGTTTGGATATTTAATGAATGAACTTACCATTATCGAATGTGTTGATATACCTCAGTTAATACAAAACAAACATTGTACTCGTATCTTTAGAAATGATTGTGAATCCTTAATAAGATTCTCACAGACACAAACATTTGCTAGTCAGATAATCGTGAATGAATATTTTAACTACTCAACGAATAAAACAAACAATAGACAGTTATCTATATAAAAAAAGCATTCTAGACATATTCACAAATCGATATTAGCTGTGGAACCAGTGAAAACCACGGGCCATTAGGTATATGTTTCGTTTTAATATACATTTAATCAATACTAACAAATGCATAAAAAATCGAAAAGGACAATTACATTGTATTCGGACAAACTGTTTTCAGCGGCCCAGAGTCAGATTGGAACTTGCCTCCACCTAAAGCTGAATCATGTGAAGACATAGAATTCGGTGATAAGTCAGAACAAGATGATTCCCTTGTTGTTGTTGTTATAGTTGTTGACGTGGAAAGAAGAGAATCTGGTCGAAGTGAATTACAAGATGAATTATTTTGTGTTTGGCCAAGATCAACAATATTACTATTATTCGATATATGATCAGCTGGAATATTTGAAGGACTTGGTGTTGGTGGTGTGTCCAAAGTGATTAACTGATTATTATTACTACCAGTGGTAAAGCCTTCATTGACTTGAACCATATTTGGATAAGAAACGTGTTCATTAAGAGCTAAAAAGAATATGGGAAATCAATTTATAAGTATGTAGTAAATAACATTGTGATATTTGACTTGAAACTGACTATTTGATTCAAATATAGTTAAATATTGAAAGGGCCTAGTAGCACTGTGATTAGAGTTATAATTCCCTTAAATCTTAACGAGGTTGAAAAAGGCAACCTGAAGCAAGAGAAAGTAACAAGGCCCAATGGTTTAACTTTAGAGATTCTTAAGAATTTTAGCCGTTGTAGCTGAGAACTGGATTCAATGTTATCTGATTAGTTTCGATTGCTGGTTGTCAGTTATTGAGAAAAATCAGTTCGATTAATGAAATGTATAAAATGTTAGCGTCAAACTTCCTAAAGGCTTCTCACTCGATGTATATATAGCACATTACGCATATAAAATTTTCCATCTTACAAACCTGGACACAATGTCTGAGTCACATCAATAATATATTAGAAAAAAAATAAGATTTATTCACGTTACACATAAGGTATTTCTAAATGGAACAGTACTCTTAAACAGCAATAAAATGTATTGCTATCTACTAAAACAATAACCAGTTTGTGTTACTTACGCCTGTTACTCCTCGTAAAGGAGCATAGGCCTCTCACAAGCATTCTCCATCCAACCCTGTCCCAAGCAATCCTTTCAAGCTCTTTCCAGTTGTTATTCATCCTTTTCATAGCCGCTTCTATTTCCCGACGTAATGTGTTCTTTGGCCTTCCTCTTTTCCGCTTCCCTTCTGGATTCCAAGTTAGGGCTTGCCTGGTGATGCAGTTTGATGATTTCCTCAATGTATGTCCTATCCATTTCCATCGTCTTTTCCTAATTTTCTCTTCAGCTGGAAGTTGGTTTGTCCTCTCCCACAGAATGCTGTTGCCGATGGAATCCGGCCAATGGATGTTGCGTATCTTGCGTAGACAGCTATTGATAAATACTTTTACCTTCTTGATGGTGGTTGTTGTAATTCTCCAAGTTTCAGCTCCGTACAGTAGAACTGCCTTGACGTTCGTATTGAAGATTCTGACTTTGATATTGGTTGAAAGTTGTTTTGAGTCCCATATATTCTTTAATTGAAGGGATGCGGCACTTGCTTTGTCGATCCTCGCCTTTACGTCTGCATTTGAACCTCCTTGTTTATCGATGATGATTCCCAGGTATGTGAAGAATCCTACCTCTTCCAGAGTTTCGCCATCAAGAGTGATTGCATTGCTATTCTCCGTGTTGTATTTGAGGATTTTGGTTTTCCCTTTGTGTATGTTGAGGCCTACTGATGCAGAGACTGCTGCATTTGTTCATGTGTATGCGATAGGAGGGCTAGGTCATCTGCGAAGTCCAAATCGTCTAATTGGTTCTGAGCTGTCCATTGTATGCCGTAGTTTCCCTCACATATCGAGGTCTTCATAATCCAGTCGACCACCAGAAGAAAGAGGAAACGGGAGAGTAGACAGCCTTTTCTGACTCCGGTCCTTACTTGGAATGCATCTGTCAGCTGTCCTCCATGCACTACTTTGCATTGCAGACCGTCGTATGAGTTCCGGATAATGTTGACAATCTTCTCAGGAACTCCGTAGTGTCGAAGAAGTTTCCATAACGTTCTCCTATCTACACAGTCAAATGCCTTTTCATAATCAATGAAGTTGATGTACAGTGACGAATCCCACTCAATTGATTGTTCGACGATGATCCGGAGTGTCACAATTTGGTCTGTGCACGACCTAACCTTACGAAATCCAGCTTGTCGATCTCGAGGTTGGGCATCTACTGCGTCTTTCATCCGGTTCAGCAACACTCTGTTAAAGACTTTTCCTGGTATTGACAGTAGTGTAATGCCTCTGTAGTTTTCACACTTGCTCAGATCTCCTTTCTTTGGAATCTTGATGAGGTGTCCTTCTTTCCAGTACATCGGCACTTGTTCCTCCTCTCAAATCTTCTTGAATAGAAGATGAAGCATGTTTGTAGTTACTTCGATGTTTGACTTCAATGCTTCAGCTGGTATATTATCGGGTCCTGCTGCTTTCCCGCTCTTGATTTGTCTGATAGCCATTCTGATTTCTTCCATCGTTGGTGGATTGACATCTATAGGAATATCTGTGTGTGCTGCTTCGATGTCCGGTGGATTCACTGGAGCCGGCCTATTCAGGAGTTCCTCAAAGTACTCTGCCCATCTGTTCCGCTGTTGTTGAATTTCAGTGATTGGTCTTCCTTCTTTGTCTTTGACCGGTCTCTCTGGTATACTATATTTCCCTGCTAGTTTCTTCGTTGTATCGCAAAGCTGTTTCATAATTCCTTCTCTTGCAGCTTTTTCCGCCGTCGTTGCTAGTTCTCCCACGTATTTCTGTTTGTCGGCTCTAATCCTCTTCTTCACTTGCTTGTTTGCTTCTGTGTACTCTGCTTGTGCTTGGACTTTCTCTGCTCTTGTTCGACTGTTGTTAATTGCTGTCTTCTTGTTCTTTCTTTCTTTGATCCTGTACAGTGTTTCTATAGAGATCTATTCCTTGTGACGATGCTTCTTGGGGCCCAGAACCTCTTCACACGTTGAAGTTAATGTTTCTTTGATACCTTTCCAGCTATCCTCCATAGTAGTTTCTTCTTCCTTCAGTAGATCCTGTAAGGCTTGGAACCTGTTGTTGAGAGCTACCTTGAATTCATTGAGTTTGTCAGTATCTCGAAGGAAGGCTGTATTGAACCTTTGTGGTGCTGTTTGTCCAGTTGTCCAGTTCTTCTTTAGCTTCAGTTTCAATTTGGCCACAACTAGGTGATGATCTGAAGCTATGTCCGCTCCTCTCCTGGTTTTCACATCTTCCATTGTCCTTCGGAACTTTTTATTGATGCAAATGTGATCTATCTGGTTCTCTGTGGTGTGGTCCGGTGAGATCCACGTAGCTTTGTGTATACGTCTGTGTGGAAATGTTGTACCGCCTATGACTAATTTATTGAATGCACACAGATTTGCAAATCTTTCCCCGTTTTCGTTTCTCTCTCCCAGTCCATGCAGTCCCATGATGTCTTCATATCCGGTGTTGTCCATTCCGACTTTGGCGTTTAGATCTCCCATCAGAATGGTGAGGTCCTTTCTTGGGCACTTCTCTATGATTGATTGCAGCCTCTCATAGAATTGATCCTTAACGTCGTCGTTGCTATCATTGGTAGGTGCATAACATTGGATAATGTTCATTGTGATCTCCTCCTTCTTTGTTTTGAATGATGCTTTGATGATTCTGGATCCGTGAGATTCCCATCCTACATGTGCATTTCGTGCTACTTTGGACAGCATTAGAGCCACTTCCTGAGTGTGTGGAGCATTTTCCTCTTCGTGACCGGAGTATAGCAGCATCTCTCCCGTATTTAGCCTTCGTTGTCCAGCTTGGGTCTAATGGGTTTCGCTGATTCCCAGTACTGCCAAGTTGTATCTCCTCATTTTCGCTGCTATTTGACTGGTCTTCCCGGTCTCCCACATTGTCCGGACGTTCCATGTATCTATAAAAATTGCTGCTCTGCTTGTTAGAAGGAGCATCAGCCTTGTAGCTTCCGAAGGAACTCGGCTTTCACCACGAGGCGTCATATTTCTTCTAAATGAAAACCTTTTAACTCCCAGGGCAAAGTTTAGATGGTTTGAATTGCTTTTTCTGGTTAGTGTTTTTTTAGCGAGTTAGTTTTCTACGGGACGGGGTCGCTAACCCCATGCCCAACCCTCCTCCTTGGAACCGGCAGTAACTCTGGAAGAGCTACAGGCGCAGTTTGTGTACTTCACTCTTTGTGAAAACCACTGATTACTATTAGATATATTACAGAACTAAGTATTAACCAGTCAACACAGTATATTGCATTAATATAGCATATAAATAAATGCACCTTAAATGAAACTGTGTAGGAAATATGTCGAAACTTGAAACCAATATATTTTAAAAGATTTTAGTTATGCTGACCGCATTAGTTATTTGTGATAACTTTATGTCTTGATCGAAAACTGAAGTTAAAAGTGGTATGAAACATATATATTAGTTTTGTTTTCATTAGTTAGTTTACAGGCTTGAACACTGTTACAACTATAGATCAGTTTAGGCTGCCAGGTAGTATTACTCTTATAGGAGTCTTATCACTTAGTAGTTACGTTAAATTCCTTGATTATTAGAATCTGATATACACAAAATTGTTGAGTATGGTGCTGATTAGACTTTACGATCAATATGTGGATATATTCTTGTGCCAAAACTGTTTAGTAAAAACTAAACATAACAAATATAATACTACTTACTACAGTAATAAGCACAACCATTCAGTATCACTAAGGTAGCCCAACTTATTAACAACCATGAATTTAGGGATTCCCGCAGATAATCCGTCAGAAAAGGTCAACAAAAAAGATAATGTACAAATGCAACAACCAATATCATTGCCTAACTTTATCATAAGATATCAAACTGGGAGTATTTTATTCTATAATTTAAACATCAGTTAGTGTTTGGTAAAACACTTACTCCAACGATAATACACATACTACATTAAATAATACTTGGAGATCAAACATTTCCAAAATTAAAACAGAGGACAAAATGTTTGGATTTTATATAAAGAATATTTCATTTAAAATATACATACATATCCGTCCGAACTTCATAATCGTATAGTTTAAAAAACTGTCTACAAAATGATTGATATAAGGCATCTTAAGGAATAGGGTGACAGACATACAAACACAAGCATGTACATTTAATACAAAACATAGTGAACAATCTAAGAAATAAAACTCCAAACTGTGATGAAGAAATGTAAATCAATGAAGTGAAGAAATAACAGTACTAACACTAAGAAATAGTTTGAAGAATAATGTTTTTACAATAAATAAATAAAACCTATGAAAAAGAGAAAAGAAGTCTAATAATTATTGGTAATATAATTCATAAGCAGAGATCTACTGAAGAAAATAAATCAGGTGGAGGAAGGAGGAAAAATCAAAGAACAAATTAACAATCACAAAGGTGCAACCATAATTTTAAGGTGG